GGAACCTGCTTCCTCCTCTCTCTCTCTCTCTCTCTGCCTGCCTCTCTACCTACTTGTGATCTCTGTCAAATAAATAAAAACAAACAAAACAAACAAAAAACTTTTTTTAAAAAGGGACTTTTTCCTCCTAGGGACTTCCAAGAGGAAAAGTTTAGATTTATATGAGAATTAATACTATAATTAAAATAAAGTTAAAATATACCAATTATGATATTAAGATAACTAAAGTATTAATAAAAATTTAAACAGTATAGCTAGTGTTTTCTCTTATAAACATTCTCAAAAATGTTTTTAGATGAGGAAAAGGAAAATTTAGCTTTCATTGAATGTCCTTTTAATTCTAAAATAAAAAGTAGAGATAGGCAAATTGACATCTTACCCATAATTTATAGTTATAAAAAGGAAATGAAGAGACAAATGAAGGAGAGCCCATTCATTTGTTAAATGATTAATTATAAAGAAACAGCTTCCTATTGAAAAGACTCTAAGAAATTCTTTTAGAGGGCACGTGGTGGCTCAGTGCGTTAAGCCATTGCCTTCACCTCAGGTCATGATCTCAGGGTCCTGGGATCAAGTCCCGCATCAGGCTTTCTGCTCAGCGGGGAGCCTGCTTCCCTCTCTCTCTCTGCCTGCCTCTCTGCCTACTTGTGATCTCTGTCTGTCAAATAAATAAATAAAATCTTTTTTAAAAAAGAAGAAATTCTTTTAGAGGCACCTGTGTGGCACAGTAGGTTAAGCATTAGACTCTTGGTTTCAGTTCAGATTGTGATCTCAGGGTCCTGAGATCGAGCACCTATTGGGCTCTGTGCTCAGGTGCTCAGTGGGGAGTCTGCTTAAGATTCTCTCTTCCTCCCCCTCTAAAATAAATAAATAGATCTTAAAAAAAAAAAAGAAATCCTTTAACCATGATTTATAGTGTTTTCATATTACCTTTAAAATGTATGAATAAAAAGTAAATATAAGCCAAGTTTATGTGATACTGCTCAAATACTTTGATAAATCATTTTATATATTCTGGCTGTGAAAGATAGCTATATATTTTGTCCTGGTTTTGCCATTCAAGAAATGAAAATTCAAAAATATAACATGTAATTTCATGTGATAAGTTTAGTATTTTACAAAATGTTAAATGCAAGTTTCAAGATTCTAAACACTTGACATGTAACATATTATTGATTTACACTAATATTTTAAAGTCTATAAACATGAATATGGGCATACAACTGGATTTAGTTTTTACTTGAATAACAAGTGTCATTGGAAACTAGTCTCATAAACCTTGGATAACACTGTAACTTAGGAGAACCTGCAGAGTTCTTCCATTTGCCCCACTGAGTAAACTTAGAAAAGGTGAAGTCTCTGTGATAAAAGTTGAAACCCAGGATTATATTGAACTTTTAAAAAAATTTTTAAAAAGATTTTATTTGTTTATTTGACAGACAGAGATCACAAGTAGGCAGAGAAGCAGGCAGAGAGAGAGGAGGAAGCAGTCTCCCTGCTGAGTGCATAGCCAGATTTGGGGCTTGATCCCAGGACCCTGGGATCACGACCTGAGCTGAAGGCAAAGGCTTTAACCCACTGAGCCACTCAGGTGCCCCTATATTGAACTTTAATACCAACTTAATATTTTGTAATCCACAGTTGTCTTTGGAACCTTGAACTAATAGATTAGTAACTAATACTTAGTTAATAATCAACATTTACCTAGGGACTTTTAGAACTATTGAAGTTCAGAGTGCCAAGAATAATCTAATATTTTACTCTAGTCTCAAGCTAACAAGTTAGCCTCCCACAGTTTCATGATCCTGGCAGAAGACACAAGACACCTGAGTCCAAGACAACATTGCATATTGCAATCCCAGCATTTCACGGGGTGACCCAAGGCGGGGGGTCAGCCAAGACCTGTACTGCACACATGGTGGATTGCATAGCAGGAGAGGAACCCCGAGTTTTAAGAAAACAGATATTTTCTAATGAGCAATAAGCCTGCCTGACCTTTGGGCTGGAAGGAGACATTATCTTTATTATAAGGGACAGTAAATAAAATTGTCCTTTACTCAGAAAGGAGACACAATCTCTACTCCCAGGGCTATTCATTGTACAAACATCCTTGAAAGATAGTGCAGAACAAAGTTAGCCATTGCCTCTCCTCTTAAGATGTGCAGAATTGGGGCACCTGGGTGGCTCAGTGTGTTAAAGCCTCTGCCTTTGGCTCAGGTCATGATCCCAGGGTCCTGGGATTGAGCCCCGCATAGGGCTCTCTGCTCAGCAGGGAGTCTGCTTACCTTCCTCTCTCTCTCTGCCTGCCTCTCTGCCTACTTGTGATCTTTGTCTGTCAAATAAATAAGTGGAATCTTAAAAAAAAAAAAGATGTGTAGAATTATGAGAAACCCATGGAGGCTTGTCTCCCAACACAAAGAGAAATAAAAAAATAAAATGTACAGTTCCTACACAGCACTGAAGCTTGTTTTCATGAATGTATTCTTATTTATGCATGAATACTTTTTTCCCTTCAGAATACTCAATTAAGGCAAAATAAATATAAACATCAAATTATGGTAGACTTGGTAAAGCTGTTTTAAAACCTAGAGTTTTAAAGCTTTAAGTATTGTCATTTAAATTTAGCTGACTACATAAGTATATATGTATGCATGTGTACATATCAGAGCTAGAGCAAAGTTAACAAATTTTTTAAATTATGTTTAACAAAGGAGAGATGACTTGCAGTTTGGGAAAAGAAAATTGGTCTCTGGATATGTTGTCTGCTGTCAGTGTGAAGCAGGTGAAAGTTCTTTGCCTAAACTACGTTCCGACATGGTGGCAAAAATTGTCATGGCTCTGGATGTATACTCTCACTTTTCACAAGTGTGCCAATATTTATCCTGATCCTTGTGATGTTTTTGAGTACTTCATAATTAATCACAAGCATAAAAACAGCACTATTTCTTCACTGCTTAAAGGAATTTTTTTCCACTGTTAACCTCTGTATGGCTATTATAAAATACTCTTTTAAAATTTTTGGTCACCTTTTCTATTATTTTTATCAACTGTGCAGTCTCTTCAGGCTATTTTTTCATATATTATCCATTTCTACAATTTGACACCAAATTCAGAAGCTTTAGGCCCCTAAAGGCTGTCCCACTCACTGGCCAAGGATCTTGGAAAAACTGTACTCAAGTGGCCAGAAATACTGTTTATAGCAAGGAAGCAAGTAGCAGTGGTTACCTATGGGGAGAGCAGCCGGAGGGGAAAGGGGTATGAGAAAGACTTCCTTTTAACCACTTACCCTTTTCCTTTGCATTTGGTACAGTGTGTATCATTGCTTATCCAAAAGTGCATATTACAAAATAACCCTCTTCTAAATCACAATTTTACATATCCAATCCTTGAATTACACTTCTTACGGTTATATCTGCACATGTGCAAATGATCATGGTACAAAGCTGTTCATGGCAATGCTGTGTGTAATAGCAAAAGATGGGAAATGTCTAAATGTCTAAATGTCCATTAAGGGGATCTGTGAAAGGAGCTGTGTAACCGTACAGTAGAATGCAAGGCAGACCTAAGGAAGGATCAAGATTATGTACTCATATGGAAATGGTATCTCAAAATATATTAAGAGAAAAAAAAAAGAGAGAGAGAGGGATTCAGAAAAATAAAGTATCTCTCATTTCTGTAAATTAGACATGATTTCCTTGCTTATGCATTAACGTATATATCTAAAGAACACAGAAGGGATTAATATCGTTGGTTGACTCTGAAGAGAATAATTAGGTGGCAGTGAGACAAGAGTGAGAAGGTGACTATTTACTGTATATACTTACTGTAAATCCTTTTTAAAAGGATTTTATTTATGTGTTTATTTAGAGTGCACATGGGAGCAGGGGGAAGCACAGAAGGAGAGGGAGAGAGAGAATTTCAAGCAGATTCCATGCTCACTGTAAAACCTCACATGGGGCTCTATCTCACAATCCTGAGATCATGACCTGAGCCAAAACCAAGAGTCAGATGCTTAACCAACTGAACTACCCAGGCGCCCCTAAACTTTAAATCTTATAAATGTGTTACCTATTCACAAAATAGAAATAAAAATTTTTAGAAGAGAAAGATAATTGTGAGATGTTACCGATTTCGAAAAAACTCAGTGGTATATGCTTTCCACACCTCCACCAAAGTTCTCTTGGTGTCCCAGTAAAGTCCATTCAGACTGTCTCAGAAAGTATCCTGAGATTGTGTGAAGTAGAAAGAACATGTAACTGAACTCTTTTGTAGAGATAAATGAGGAAACCCTATAGTTTTTCACAGATACAAACTGTTTTTAATGTGCAAGTATCCATACATCAGAGTTCTCTTCTTCCAATGAGTTTCTCCAAATTTTTTAAATTGTGGCCTGATTTTAGACTGACAGAGGAGTTACAAAAATAAGATGGCTCTTGTATACCACCTTTCACCCAGCTTCCCCTGATGTTAACATCTTACATAATCACAGTGCAATTAATAAAACTAAGAAATTAACATTGTATACTATAATACAATAGAGGACATAATAGACTATAATACAGTATAATACATAATATAATACTACAAACCACACTATCACATTATTCTGATTTCCTGTGAGCTTTTAAATGATGTTTCAAAACCTCGATTCAAAAAGCAAGCCATAAGTAGGAACCTGAACATACTGTTTCTTTCTTTCTTTTTTTTTTTTTTTTAAGATTTTATTTATTTATTTATTTGCCAGAAAGAGAGAGAGCACAAGCCGGCAGAGTGGCAGGCAGAGGCAGAGAGAGAGAAGCAGGCTTCCCACTGAGCAGAGAGCCTGATGCAGAACTCGATTCCAGGATCCTTGGATCATGACCTGACCCGAAGGCAGTGGCTTAACCCACTGAGTCACCCAGGAGTCCCCATACTGTTTCTTTCTGTTCACAGCAAAACTTTGGTCTTTTTTTCTTTCTTTCTTTCTTTCCTTTTTTGTTTGTTTGTTTGTTTGTCTTCAGGTCTTAACATTTTGTCACATGTATTTTTGCAAATGTTCAAAATAGCTAGGTTGTATTCTGAAATTTTTAAAATTTTCATAAGTATGTATGAGAAGGTACATTTGCATTTGTAATGTAAAAAGCGGCATGCTAGAGAATTGAGGGTTTGTCTTAAAGGACTGCCTAAATTATGGCCTGAGGGAGCTGTTCATCTGTTTCATCACTTGATCACAACATTTTACTAGTCAAATATTTTGTTAATTATCCAATTTATGAAAAAAAATTCAATTCCACTCCCGAGTCTACTACCAAAAGCAGTGGTTCTCAAAGTGTGGTCCTCGGACCAGCAAGTCAGCATTACCTAGGAACCTGCTGGAAATGGAAATATCCAGCAATCTGTGTTTGAGCGAGCCCTGGGTAATGCTGAAGGGGAAACATTAAGAATCTGATTAAAAGAATTGTTTTGATACTAAAGGGAGAGGAGAGAAGGAAAGACAGAACTAATAGAGAAATTCCCAATGGGCAATTCAGCCTGTTTGTTAACAGAAAGGTCTTTCTTCAGACTTGTTTCTCAGGAATTCGATTGTATGTACTTTGTTTCTTTTTTTAAATCCAAACTTTATTCTATTTTTTTTTTTTTTAAGTACTGTCCATGCCCAGTGGGAACTCAAGCTCACAACCCCAAGACCAGGAGTCCCATGCTCTACAGACTGAGCCAGCCAGGCGCCCTTGTACTTTGTCTCTCGTAAGTACTGACTCACCTTCCCATGCACCAAGGTTGGACCTTAGCCACCTTTTGACCTGAGTGAACTGATTCCAAAGATGACAAAGTAATTAACATAGAACTTCTCTATTGATAACCTCTTCTTCCAGAAACCACTTTGATCACTTTCTGGACCCAAAATGAGTACCGGCAATCCTTACTTGGCACGGTTCTGGTATCTACAAATTTCGGTTCTGTTTTCTACAAATTTAGTTAAATGAAGACCAGCACTGCAACAATGTAGTACAAATTTCAGTTACCACATAGTGCAAATTTCGCGGTCCTGGAAACACTAGGGAAATAACAGATATGCATCCTGATGAATGGCCAATCAGATCTCTTCCATCAGAGTCATCTTGATGAGTGGCCAATCAAATATCTTCCTTCAGAGTCTATTGCTAAGTTGTCAGTGTGTGTCTGTTATGCAGTTCACGCAATCTGCCAAGCATGTAGTTGCTGTAGAGGCTCTTTTTAGCCAACCAACTTGAACAAAAGAAACCTTACAAAGAAGTGTCCACAGTGACCCCCAGCTCCCTGGCAGAATACAAATGGGCCTGTTAGGTGATCCACTGCGAAATATCCATAAACCCTAGCTAACCAATGGGTTACTTCACCTGACCAAAAAAGAATTCCACACATTCCCATACCTCCTCACCCTCCCCGCTTGACTATATCACCCCCATCCCACCCTTGCCTGCCTTATTGCACACGGTCTCTCCTTTGTTCCCAACCCTCCACCATGGCCTTGGATGAATCCTTTCATCACCCTGCTGCTGGCTTCTACCTGATGGGGTCACCCTATATTTGGTGGCCCCCATCCGATCTGGACACATCACAGTGGACATTCCCAGCAATAAACCCACAGAACATTTTACAAAAATGGGTGATGGAAAGAAAATTGTCCAACCAAGATGAAAGTGCAGCGACAAAAGGAAAAGTGGTATCATTAGAAAATAAATTGGATGTCATTAGAAGTTACTGATGGGGAATGTTGATAAAGCTGCTGGACTCTAGACTCCAGGTATGTATGCAGCCAGAGGAATTTGTGACAGTGAACTCACTGACATAAACACAGACCTCAATGGGACACAAAGGATGGAGGTGTCCCAGTGGAAGTGACACTTGCAAGCCCTTCACATTAGAGCACCCTCAGAGGTGTTTTAGAACACTGAAAGCAAGAAGGATGGAATCTTGTAAGCAAAAGGAAGTTGTCAAATTATATAGTCTTCTGAGAGCTGGGATCTGTATGGATGCCTTGGCATCGACTCTCGGAGAATTAGGGGCTGAACAAATGTTTAGTGAGTTGGAACTACAGTAGTTCAGAGAGACACTATTGCCATGTCTAGTATAAGTTACTTTTAACCTCTAGTTTAATTTCTCACTGGCTGTCATTCTTAGCAAGTTATCGATCTGACAACAATATCTAAATGATTGTCTCTTTTTTTTCTGAAAGATATGTAAATACCTGTGAATTTTCTTTATTAAGCTAGGAAAGGATTTGGGGCTCTCCTGTAATGTTTATGATGGTTAAAAGAAAGAAGGAGAGGAGGGGGTTAGAAGGGGAGACAAAGAGCAAAGACTGGAGGAAGGAGGAGAAGCTCTGTTCTCCAGCTGCCCAGCCCCCTCTGAATTGCTCTCCCTCCAGTGATTCTCATTCTTTTCTTAGGGTTCAGGTCTTGTAGATCTTAGTCATTTTAAATGTTCTTATTTAAGGTTCTCATTCAGACAGCCTTTCCGTCATCTGGCGTTCATGGCCACTGAATTCCATGGCTTATTGTAAGGACTGACTCTCATGCAGGGTGCCTTGTTTCCATGTGTGTTCATGTTTTGACTATGAACTCATCTGTAGCTGTGCTTGCTTTTTGCTTAGAGAACCCATTGTGCCCCAGGCAAAAAAGAGTTCTGGCAGATCCATTCTCATTGACTCTGCCAGGAGTCTTGAGATGTCTCTGCACTGGGACGTATTCTTAGGTCAGGTTCTCACTCTGGAGTTTGGGGGACTTGATTGGTAAAAGAAAACCAAACTCCAAACCTCTCTGAGGAGCCAGACTCTAAGACGTTAACAATGAGAAGAAACTGGGTAAGGGGCACATATAGGAACTCTGGGTACTATCTTTGCAACTTCTTTGCAAACCCCAAATTATCCAAAATAAAGAGGTAATGTTTTAAAAATGAAGCCGCCCAGTTCCTAAACCAGTTAGGTAAGCTGTGGAGTCAGCTTGTATGCTTACTGGTTCCATTTTCATCTCCTTCTTCATTGTGGGTCTCTGCTATATCCCTTCTTCCTTGCAAGTTCAGCTATGAATTTAAAATAGTCTTTGTTATAACTTATCTAACATTTCTGGGAGTTATTGTAGGGAGATTTTGAGATCCTATCAGCTCACTGTGTGTGGAATCTTAACTCCCCATCACTCTTTAATCCACATAAATCAAGCTTCTATCCCCACCATCAAAACCGTTCTGGTCAACCTTACCGTAACACTCACCTTACTAACCAGTCGTCGATTCTTAATCATGGACTCGATCTTCCATTAACATTTGAACCATTGTATATGGCTTCCTTGAAACCCTATATTCCTTTGGTTTGTCACTTACTTCACTGCCTTTCCTCAGACTTCTTTGTGGACTCTGGCTCCTTGGCTGACCCTTCAATGTTGAGGGCCTTTGGACTCAGTCTGCCACCCAGTCTCTTATAATTTGACACCAGTCCCTCACTGATTCTCTTCAGTCTAGGGATTTTAAATGTCATATACATGCTAATGACTCTCAACTTGAGATCTTATGACTTGATTTTTTCCGTGCCTACCCCTGAGTCCCCAAACTCACGGATACTATATTACTGCCTAGTCAACATTCTTACTTGAATATCAAACTTACTATTACCCAAACTGAAATCTGGATTAGGTTCTAATGGTAAGAGAATAGGTTGTCCCCTATACACCTGTGGTAGGCCTGGGCCAGGTCTGGTGATGTGGCAGCAAAGAGAACAGAGCAAAAAAGCCCTGAGGCATAGCAAAACCCTCTCTGTGGAGTAGCAGTAGACTTTTCAGTGTGAACTTGGTCCTTTCCCATGTCTAACAGTACGAGAGAGTAAAACCATAGTTCTCTGCATTAAACACCAAATTTCTAGTGTACCTTCATGAGGACCCTCAATCCAGAAACCTAGTATATTTGGAGAATAAACCTCTAGACTAGCCAGCATGGAAGGAAAGTTGCCTAACTCTATGGGGGTAGGGAAGGAATTCCCGAAGTCTTTTTCTTCTTTCTTTTGTCTTCATTTAATGCCACATTTATTCTCATTGCATTGGGCTGGGAAAGGAAAGAGTCATGAGTATAGAGAATTGTTCTATGCCATTATCTTTCAGACAGCAGTGGGATCCTGGTTCCAATTTTCTTTGAGTTCAGGATTTGAATCTGAGTCAGAGGAGGCTGACACCTGTTGGGAGCTGGGGCCGGCTAGGAGACAGGCAGGAAACCAGAATGTACTTGACTTTGGAGGTTGCATGTCTCAGGGCTCGAATTCAGGTACCTGAGGACCCTCCAGGTAGAACACATGGGAAATACAAATGGTGCAAGCCTAGGGCTGGGCTCAGGAGGTGGGAGGTCAGCCCCATGGGCTTAGGAAGGACCTGAGAAGCCACTATCCTCTCATCTGTACCCCAGGATCCTGGGAAGGGCCTCTGCATAAGGACAGGATCAGGTTTTCTCCTCTGGTTGGCCTCTTGAATAGTAGAGAGTAAATCCTGCAAATTGATGAGCATCTGGAGACATTGTTGCCATTTTCCTTCAGGCTCCTGTGCTTGAGACCCTGGCCAGTCTCTGTTGACCATACATGATTCTCCATCCTCACTCCTTCACATGCAAGGGGTTCCCATTCTTGTAGGAAACTCTGGATTTCCTAGTCCATCTAAGGTTTCATTAACAGGACCATGGGCTTTTCCGATCCTTGGGTTTCTTTTTCCTCCTTTACTTCCTGGAGGTTTCTATTAATTTCAGCCTGATGGGTCACTTTGTCCATTTCTACTCCTGAGTTTTCTCTGCATCCCAGGGTTCTAATAGGGTGGGGGCCGGGGGCATGTGCAGAGAGCTGGTCCATGCTGGGCCCTGCTGCAGCTCAGCGATCTGGAGGTGCCCCAGCACAGAAATGTGCTTGTTCCTCTCTGTGCTGGCGGTTTCCAACAGCTTTTGCAAAGGATTTTCAACCCGTGTTGATGGTTTAGTCTCACATCCATGTCCAAAGGAACCTGATGCTTCTAGCTCCTGAGGCTTT